TTCTGCCGGACTGGATCTAAAAACACCTAGACATATTCGTAATGCTGTGGTTTGGATTGTGTCAAGATATTTGAGGTATGTTTTGCAGGCACTCATGTAGAGGATACTTCCATAATCCAGTTTGGAGCGGACTAATGATCTATAAGTTCTTATTAATATCTCTTCTTCTGCTCCCCATTGGTGATGTGCCAAGGATTTCAAAATATTGATTCGTTTTAAACAGTTAGCTTTCGTCTCCTGAATATGATGTCTCCATGTGAACCTTTTATCGAAGATTACTCCCAAGAATCTATGTTGATCAACCACCTGTAGCTGGTGTCCATTGAGAACTAGTTGTGGTGGAAAAGGATTGAGTCTCCTGCTGAACAGGATTACTTTGGATTTGGTTGTTGAAAAGTTGAAACCAGATCTTAGAGACCAACTGTGAATGCTATCAAGAGCCTTCTGAAGCAAGGTGCAGGTACTGGCCGTAACTTTGCCTTGGCAGTAGAGGATGAGGTCGTCGGCGTAAAGTGCATATTTTACAGGTGGAATTATTGAGGAGCATATGTCATTGATAGTCATCAGGAATAAGGTGGTGCTAAGTACCGAGCCTTGTGGTACTCCATTTTCTGGAAAGTGTTGTATGGATGACTGCCCATTTGCAATAACTTTGAAAGTTCTGTTAGTTAAGAAGTTTTGTAGAAAAGAAAGAATGTTTCCAGTTAGGTTAGAGTCTATGAGTTTTTCGTAGATTGTAGTTTTTTTAATCGTGTCGAATGCGCAATCAATATCAAGACTCACGGCGATTATGTCATTCTTATTTGCAATAGCCTGTGAGATATCTGAGTGTAGAGTAACCAGGTTATCCAATGTGCTTCTGTTTGAACGGAAGCCTGCCTGAGCTGTAATTAAGTGGTTATGCAATTCTAAGTGCCAGTGTAAGCGTCTATTGACCATTTTCTCGAGAATTTTGCACATTGTGCATGTTAGAGATATTGGCCTAAAAGAATTAGGAAGATTGATATTTGAGTCATTCTTTTTGATTGGTACGATAGTTGATTCTCTCCACAGAGCCGGAAATTGCTGACTGCACCAAATTTTGTTGTAGAGTTCAAGCAGTTTGATTTTTGTTTCTAACTGTAGATATTTTAGGAAGATCATTGGAATATCGTCGGGTCCTGCAGCTGTGTTCTTCAGAGAGAGTAGGACAGAATTCAATTCGTAAATAGTGAAAGGGACATTGAGAGAGTGGCAACTGTGAGGAGTTTGTTCAGGTTGTGGATTATTTATTGGGTTTGGAGGTTCGGGATTAGATTTTGTTTTGTTTTGAAAGTGTTGGGCAAGAATGTTCGCAATTTGTTGGTCATTGGTAATGACTTGACCCTCGTGGGTTAGGCCAGGAATTTTATAGTTAGTGTTTTTTCCTTTCATCTGTTTTATCTTGGTCCAGATTAGTGAAGGGGGAGTGTCAGAGGTTATTGTGCTTGAGAATTTATTCCACGACTCTCGTTTACATTGTTTCAGAACTCTTTTTGATTTTGCTCTCATTTTTTTGAGGTTTATCAAGTCTGACTCATTTCTGGTTCTTCGGTATTTGTTGAGCGCCTTTTTGCTCTCCTTCACTGCCGTGCTGCAGGATTCATTCCACCAGGGGACGATGCGTTTAGAGGGGGATATGATGTACTTTCCTATGGATATATTGGCTGCGGAAATTATGGCGTTAGTCATTTGGACAGTAGCTTCATCTATGTTGTTCGAATATATAATATTTTCTGTATTTTCTTTTAGCGTTTGGCTGTAAAGTTCCCAATTTGCATTTTTGATTTTCCACTTCTCTTTGATGTTAACTTGTTTTGGTACGTTGTCTGATATTAGGATGGGAAAGTGGTTACTATCATAGAGGCTGTCAAGGGTGTGCCATGATAGTAAGGGTGCTGTTCCTGGATCTGAGATGCTGAGGTCTATTGCTGAAAAAGACCCGGATTGTACATGGAAATATGTACTGCTGCCAGTGTTCAACAGGTTGATGTTACAATTGTTGATCACATTTTCAATCATTTTGCCACGGCCAAACGTACGTTCTGATCCCCACATTGTGTTGTGAGCATTGAAGTCACCTACTAAGATGAAAGGTGTAGGGAGTTGGTTTATGAGGTCCGTTATTTCTGTGTCTCTAACAATATAGTTTGGAGGGATGTATACACTGCAGATAACAATTTTATTGGGGCACCACGCTGTGATGGCAACTGCTTCTAAGCTTGTGTTTAAGGGTAGTTCTTGGTGAAAGATATCACTGGAGACAAATACTGACGATCCGCCACTGGCACGTGCATGAGTAGTTCTGATGAAGTGATAGCCAACAAAGTTTTTCAAGCGTGGGTTGTGATGCTTGGTGAAATTAGTTTCTTGTAAACATATGAAGTCTGGTGAGGTGTCTGAGATGAGTTGCTGTAATCGCTCCAGACGAGGGTAGAAACCGTCGCAGTTCCACTGTATTAAGGAGATGGGCATGGTAATGGAAAGTTTAGTATGAAGATTTATGCGACTGCTGTGAGCAGTCGGAACTATATTCATCATCAGTAGGCTCATTAGATATATCCAGACTTTCAGTATCTCCAGCGTCGGATTTGAGTCTCTTCTTCATCTTGTTAGTAATGCGGGTTATTCTGTTTTTTAAGGATCTATCTGTGAGGTCGGGGTAAATGAGATTCAGGTTTGAGACAAGGCCAGTTATGTCATCTGTGTGTTTACGGGCTTCCAGGAACGGATCTGAGCTACCAAAAGTATTTTCTAAGAAGTCATAAAGATTTTCAATTGGAAGTATGAATGCATCAGGAGTTTTCTGATAGGATTTTGCTATGCATACTTTCATGTATGTTGTGAGATTTGATTCAGTAGCCTCACCTATCTTGCGCTTCTTCTTTGTTGCTTTATTAACTGCTGTCGGAAGTGTAGAGGATGCGGGGGGAGGCATAGCGTCCTTGATCTCTTCTGTGTCTACAGGTAAACTTGAGGTTTCACTTGGAGTTGAAAGCTGGGAATAACCGCGTTTTTGGGATGGTGTCATATCTGCAAGAGGTGGGTTTTCTTGTGGGGTAATCGGGTCCACATTCGAAGTCGTATCATTGCTCTCTATTCTATTTGAGGAGTTCGTACTTGGAGATGCCTGTTCAGGTTGTACGGGAGGAGTGGTTTGTGACGGTAAAATGTTAGTTGGAGGGTTTGGGCAATTTGAGGCGATGTGGCCAGATTGCTTGCAAATGAAGCACTCCATTTTGTCTGTAGATAGAAAGATTCTGTTTTCATTCCCGTCGAATGGAATAGTTAGAGAAGTCTGCAATTCAAAGTTGTCTGATGTGGGAAGAACGTAGACTTGTCGTCTGAAACTCAATATATGGGAATATTCGTCGCCTGGGATACCAGCTCTCAAAAACGAGACCGGGGAGGTTATCTGTAAACCAAGGCTCTTTATAGCATCTTCAACGAGGTCGTGGGGTATATAAGGAGATATGTTTGAGATGATTATTCGTTTTGTCGGAGAAACGAGTCTGCGGATGTTTATAGCATTATTGTTGATAGTTACGAATGAATGAGATTTTATGAGGTCGTCAACGAGTTTGGAAGTGTCTAAATAGATGCAGATTCGATTATTCGAGATCCTTGACGCAAAAGAGATGTGTTTGGGGCCTGCAATATCACCTATAGCCTTAACATAGTCAAATAACTTTAGGTTATCATCTGCGTGCATCACTATGGCTTGGTCCTTTTTTGGAAAAGATGGTTTGGGTGTTGTCTTAACGGCTGATACGTAGCTGGTGCCAGGGCCTGGATTGTTATTGTTCGAATTGTGCGGCATTTTGATTTCAGTTGGTTAAGGTGAAACTGTTTGGTTTATTGTTGCCCTTGTACTCAAAAGCAATTTGTTAAATGCCCTAATTAAATTCACTTGATAATTTTATTTCGCTGTGCAGTAATATATCCATATTGAGGTACTGCCTACGCCTCTGGTAGAGAGGGGCAGGCAAAGGAAACTGAGATTTATCGGAACTCAGTTGATGCCTTGGCTGTTTACTGTTATCAGTTCTTATAGCGAACGACGCCAAAAAAACTCGATTTGGAGGTATATAAAAATGTTCAGTACATACGTCGGTTTTTGTGGCACTGGATAACTATAGATTTAACTTAATAATTACTTATGGAACAAAAGAACTGCGGAGCAAAATATAAGCGATGTTTACTCGTTCAAGCACTCGAGCACCAATCCATGAATAATTTGTTGATGTAACAAATCCTTTTTATCCGTGCACTGATTGATAGTTTAAAAGGACATAGATATGCGAGAAGCATTCGTCAAACAAGACTAAGCGGATTCCCTAGTTACCTAACAAATACTCAATACCAGTAACAAGACAACTCACCTGATACTGTCCTCTGAGGTATAATACCTCAAAAAAATTGGCAAATCGCACAGTATATATAGCAATTTTGTAAAAATCTGTATGAGTAGCAAAATGCAAAATCTACTCGACGTGGTTTTATTCATTTCACTTACTTCTGGAAAATTTGATATAGGAATACAATTTTTAGAATTCTTGGAGATAAAGATTCATGGTCCTGCGGTTGGAGGTCGAAATATCGTGAGTTTGTTTGTAAGACATTTACAGCCAATCTATTATGTAAAATGTATTGACTGATTATGTTCCAACAGTTATGAATATGACAGACTATTAAAGATGGAACATGTTTATAGCTAGTTTTCACGAAAGTGCCTAGTCCAAAGTGTACCAAATTCAGTATATCATTCGAGGATACTAAAAACGACCATTAGACATGCCTCCATCATCGATACCGGCATATTCACATCAATAATTATCAACGGAAACAAGCAAAATTAATTACATTTTCTTGTTCGAGGGGCAATTATAGAATCGAATTATTATTTTTTTCTGTTGGAACCGTGACGTAATCTTACTTTGCGATAATTGTTTTATCACTTGGTGTCGATAGAACGGATGTGAATGGTGGTGTGGTGAAATTTTAGATCGCTCATGTGGAATTGGAATAGCTTATTGGAGGTGGTGTTTCAATTGTTGGGATTCCGTAGGTCTAATCACAGCATGTAAGTTTCAGTACCCATAGCAAACATGCATACATGGGCCATCATTTTTTAAGCAATGTCACAATATTTCCAACGCCAGAATTGGTGAAGCGTACTTCCATTTATTGCTCATTCATTGTTGGCCCAGTGGTGACTGAAAGACATATTCTCAGTGTATTCCCAATGAAAATAAAGTGGTTTATCTTTACACACTGATTTGAGGTTCTGTAGAGAAAATATTATATTTCACTCATAATAATGACTAACTACAATGAAAGAAACTGATGATGTGGTCAATCTGCCAAGGGTACGCAAATTCCGTTTCTTCTGCTTGATATATTTTAATTTCTGGAAAATGAGCTTTCATCTTCACATGAGTATCTGAAATGGATCATTAGTGAATTCCAAGCCCCCTCTGATTCAGTTGTGTAGCTGAGAATGCCCCTTCCCCGCAGAAATCTTAACGGGGCCTTTCCATTTATATAATAATAATAAAAATAATAATAATAATAAAGGTCTTCATTAATCACGATTCGACAAATATCAATGAATAATATAAAAGATAGGGAGAGGTTCAATATATTTTAAAATCTTGGAAGGGGTCTAGAATGTATGTTCTTTCATACCTTCTTATTCATTTCAAATTCTAACCAAACTTTACTATAACTTAGGAATTCAGAATCACACATTGATTCGTATATTTCTTCAATCCATACACATCATTACTATACTTACTAGAATAACATGCATATCAGATTATCTATTACCATAGATGAAACTTTAATCTATGTGATTATTGTATCGTTTTGACGGTTTCGCATTTCCATGTGCGAACTAAAGACTGATAACGTTGAGTATGATATGAAGTATGTACTTCGCGCACTGCCTCTCACATGGTGTCGTGGTTACGTATAGGAAACTGAAAAAAAAGAGTCACTTCGCAAATTTTTATCAATGCGCGAACCTTGTCATTTTTTGACGTTTGTAAAAAAATGTTTTTTGAGGATGGCAGTCAGACGCGTGGCACATCTAATGTTTCAAAATATTCAACTTTGAATGAAAAAATCATGGCTATGCCCACCTCTACCCAATAGTAATTGATGTAAAAACTTCACGAACGATAAGATTTCCACAAATTTTTAAACACACGACATATTTCGCTAACACAGTAGCTTCGTCAGGTGATAGACTGGTACAATGAACTTACAATATGAACAATAGTAATTGCTCCAACTATTGACCTAACCTGAAATATATATTTATACACCAAGGTAGTAAAGAATCTAATCATTACCTATAGGGACCAAGATATTCCAAGGTGCCAGCCGAGTGATATAAGGTCCCTTGGACGCAATATCTATGGTGAATCAGGTACATACATACCTACCTCACAGGTTTTCCCAAGTTCGATATTTTCATCAGATTGAACGAATGAAAATACAATTTTCGTGAACCTTATTGAATTTTTGTACCCAATTACCTCATTGAGAACTATTCTGAAATTCTGGGACTTTTCCAGTCACCAATCATACTGAATTTTGCCATCATGAAAGCTTATATAGGGTGAATGTAAAAACTTCAGAAACGATTTCATTGTACCAGTACATCACCTGACGAAGCTACTGTGTTAGCGAAACATGTTGTGAGTTTAAGAATTTTGTGAAACTCTTATCGTTTGTAAAGTTTCCACATTTGCCATGAATTTCAATCAAGTAACGGCCGAGTCAATTCAAGATAATATATAGGGTAATCATGAAAAACAACAATAAATACTTCCAACTTCAACACTCTGTATCTTGATAAGGAAGCATTCCAGGTTCTATGTTTACATGAACTTTTCGTCTTTGAATCACCCAAATAATCGCCCCTTGGAGTTTGGCCATAAACTTAGGTAATACCCTGTATGGATCCGAAGAATACCTTCTGCATTACTAATCAAGTGCAATGCTTGACTTTCTCATTATACTTACATCGTAGTTAAATGAAACTCAAGGCTGAATTCCTAATCTGAAGAGTATGAATGTATACGTAATAAATTGGATAATCAGATGAACGCAGTACTCCTATTACGGAACTGTGGAGAATAATTTGAATTAATATTTCGAATAACTCGTGATGTTATTTCAGTTTAACTCGAAGGTCCCAAAAAAACGTTGATAGTTCGTCGCATAAGTAAATTATTCTCTTCGTAAATACTGTCTGTAGGTTATTCGAGGAGGTATGGAATATCCATTTGTCTAATTTATTTAAAGGACCCCGCACATGCCCGCACTTTCCTTATGGAAAATGGCTTTCGGTTAAATTCCCTGAATTTTTGGTATGATGTTGATTTTGACTTCATAAGCAGAAGTATCGATGGGTACAAAGAAATCGGGTGACTAGTTTTCGAGATACAGGGTGTCAAAGATGAAAAGTGAAGCTTTCTGCTCAGAGAACTCCGAGAATTGAAGAAACGGCCATTTATTGATGGAATAAGATGCCTGAATGATGGTCCAGTGTCATCTGGATCTCGTATCCATTATAATTTTACGTTTTGGGCTCTACAACAGGGTGAACAAAGAAACATCCAATTCGATTTATTTTAAACCAACCAGGGTAAGTTCTTTCATGAGAACTAAAGATCCAATTGAAGCCTGGACGAACTCCCTCAATCTCGATCGAAGTTTACTGAATTTTTTTTATGTGCAGAGTGGTTCGAAAATAGGGGTACGTCAATCCCTAGTTTTTTAAATCGGAAAGGGAAGAGCATGTCATATACTGGGTGTCCCTAGCCCAGTGGGACAGTTAAATATCTTCTGAACCCATAGGAATTTCCAAAATATTATAATTCCACATCATATCGCATTATGAGTGCTAACTTCAGGAATGACTATATTTTATACGAGGGGCGCAAGAAAGGCTCACAAAATCGAACATGAATTTTTTCGAATAGAACACCTTGTATTTCATTGCATTTTCATATTCTCCTTGAAGAGCTGAATTCAACGACCTAGCACACTTGGGGTCTAGCGGGAATAATTTCCGAGATATAGGGTGTGGAAAGTCGAGATTTTTCATTTTTGGGAATTTTTTGTGTCAAAACTATTCATTATTGGTCAAAACGGCTTGAATGTCCATATCTCAACTTTTGATTTACTGTTTACTCGTATTTAATTGACACAAATACAGGGTGGTGTAGAATTCTGACTGAAACTGAGAACTCAGTTGTGACAACTATTCTAAGCTGAACAGCAGCCAAGTTTTGGTCGATTCTTGTTGCTTCATGGAAATGTATGTGGTGTTGGCAAAGTATCGTGAGAAAAAATATTTCTCACAGTATGAGCAATACATGGTTTTAAAACTAAGTTAGCTATGAGAAATGCACAACTTCTCATAGCAGTAGTAGAACAGGGTCTTTGTTTTTATTCCTATCAAAAATCTTTTTCCTGTCTCTCTCTAACACATGAGTTCTTATTTTAAATTCCTGAATGTGAATTTTTTGAATGAGTGCGATGTTCTGTTGATTCAAGAAGATTGGAAGCTATCAAAATCCATTATAAAAAATCCAGAGTCGTATTCATACAAACAAAGTTAATGATGACAGCTCGGAGACCAAACGTCGGTTTGAAAATCTGATAACACCATCTTGTAGAACAAAAAAATATGGCAATGAGAATGCACTAAAAAAAAGGTGGTACTTATTACCAAACGTTTAGTAAAATAGGCGCCACTCTCAACTTTCATCAAACGATACCACTAGAAAATTATATAATGCTAAACTCTATCAAATATTACCACTACAAAATAGTATAATACTCATAGTTCAGTATAGTACAACTCTGTAGTGGTATTATTTGATGAATGTAGTGACTGGCGCCTATTCTACTAAACGTTTGGTATTCACTACCGACTATTTCTCTGAGTGTGTGTTATTCGTTTTGTAATATCTATACAAATAGAGTCATAAAAAAATTAAAATGAAATCGCGAATACTCGTTTTTTTTTCGAAAAACTTTGGAAAATCCGGAATTGTTTCTAATTCCAAAGCGGCATTTTGTTAGTCAATTTTGTCCTTACGAAATCCCAATGATGAGACTCGAATTCCAGCCACCCTGTACATGAATTTCTGGCATAGCCTGGTATATGCGAAAGGAAGACGACTCATCATTATAGACAAAAGTGATACGTAGCTAATTCAAAATAACGATGTACAGTTTTTTCGGAGTTGTGCCATTGAAGGACGAACCTATTATTAATATTTCCTGATCAATATATGATTATCAAGGTTCATGAGTTGACATTCGAAATAACAATGCCGTTTTGATTGCCACATTGCATCGTAAATGTGTGAAAAACCTCTAGGGAAAATATCGGGATAAGTGGGCGTCAAATTGTATTCATTGCATTTATTGCATTTATTGCAGTATTGATTTATAAAAACGATATCAAGATTCATCGTATAGTTGCATAGGCAAAGGTGTTCAGTATTTGGAAGTTCCCTATTTCTGGATTTGAAAAAGAAAGGTTGTTCAATATGGATAATAACGCATTTCTTGGAGATGGTTACTCCATTCAGTTTTCTGTGGACAAAATGAAAGTTAACTCAAAATGTCGGTAAGTAGTAACAAACTATACTAGTAAATCCGAAGTCAATTGGAGCAGATCTAGCAAAAAAATTAGGCCACGTGCTGTCAGTCCGTCTGAAGTTCAAACGAATAGAGTGCACGTGGCAGATATATCTTGCTCGAGATGTTCCAACTGACTTTGGGGAGACTATACATAGGTAATTGATAGAAACCATAGCCGAATAGTCTAAAATGAATATTTTCATATAATGACTAGGAAAGAGATAATTTTGGACACAGCCCTCACGAAGAGATAACCGTATACACGTGTTTCGGGCTATTGACCCTCATCAGTACGGTGAAAATAAGTGCACAGGATGGACTGCACTTGTTAGAAAACGAAACAACAAATAAACGGAGTCAACAAACAGAAGCCAGCCGCACATTTGTGGTTTCGGTCAGCAGACCATGAGGTCT